CCCTGGTATTTCTCACGCGGGGGGACCGGCGTGAAATGAGGAGATGCTGCTTGGCTTCACCAGTGCCTCCAGTCAAACCAGATCCTCAGTGCAGGCAGCTCGTCCCGGCCCCTGCTCGCTCAGGCTTTGCACCAGCCTCACCCTTGCCCTGGATGTGCCAAGGCAAGAGCTGCCCCAACGGGAAGCATCTCCCTTTGCTCCAGCAAACGGCTGTTGCAATGGCCCCTCCTGCGGCTGGGAGAACGGAGCCCGCTCTGCCAGGGGCTCTCCCTAAATAGAACCACAGATCATGGAATGGTTTGGGTTGAAGGGACCTTTCAGGGTCTCTAGTCCAACCCCCCTGCCATCAGCAGGGACATCTTCAACCACATCAGGTTGCTCAGAGCCCCGTCCAACCTGACGCTGAATGTTTCCAGGGATGAGGCATCTACCACCTCTCTGGGCAACCTGGGCCAGTGTCTCACCACCCTCACTGTAAAACATTTCTTCCTTACATCCAGTCTCAATCTCCCCTCTTTTAGTTTGAAACCATCACCCTTTGTCCTAGCACTACAGGTCCTGATAAAAAGTTTTGTCTCCACACTTTGGGGGGATGCTTCATCCCAGCAGCTGACTCCTTCCCCCAGGGGCTGGTCCCTCTTCCCACCACAGCATCCCAGTAGGACTCCAACACAACCAAGAGCTCCTCCAGCCACCGCCCTCCTCCTCCTCTGCCTCCAGCCAGTCCCAAGGATGAGGGCAGCAAGAGGCATCAGTGTGCTGTTGGATGCTGCCCATCCCTTTCCCCAATTCCTGGTGACTCACACTCAGTTAAAGCCTTTGGCTTTGTTGTGGGGAAGAACAGAGTGAGGAGGAGATGGCTTCCCACCACGGCTGCCCGCCTTTCTAATGAGCCTTGTTACTAATTAGACAGTAGCAGCCCAAAGCACCAGCACCCAGAGGTGTCTGCAGCTGCACGTGCCACCGCGGAGGGAAACACTCACATGTCACAGCTTCAGGAGCACCCGTGAGCTCAGACCTGGGACCCTTTGTCACCACTTTTTGGGATTCATCATCTTCCAGGGGTTTCTCCTTCTTCGGCACTGCAGAGCTGGCAGTGGGGCGGGTGGGCAGCCGGGGTTCTACTGATGGTGCCGCTGGTGTCTGCCTCGGTGAAGGGTGCGAGGTCTCACCCACCTCTGTAAGAGAAACAGGGTTGGAGCTGAGCACCCTGGGGTGCACTGAGCTGTGGGTAGAGACCCCAGGTCACCCAAACCCACAGCAACCCCACAGCACGTCCCCAGCTGCTGCAAACGGCACCAGTTGATGCTTTGGGATTCTGATTTCAGGCAAGAGCCAAATCCAGCTGTCCCTGTTGCTTAGATTGGATCTGAGGAAAAAATTCTTCACCCAAAGGGTTGTCAAGCATTGGAACAGGCTGCCCAGGGAGGTGGTGGAGTCACCTTCCCTGGTGGGATTTAACAGACGGGCAGACAAGGTGCTGAGGGACATGGGTTAGAGGTGGAATTGGCAGTGTTGGGTTTATGGTTGGACTCGATGATCTTAAAGGTCTTTTTCAACCACTACGATTCTGTGATTCTGCTTCTGCAGCCCAGAGCACAGAGTGGGGGGAAGAGCTGGAGCACCTGGAGGGATTTTGGGCTGCTTGAGGTGAGCACTGGGGCTGCATCACTCTGCAGCCACTCACCCTGCTGCAATGCCAGCAGCTCGGCAGCACCCTCCCAGAAACCCTCCGGAGGTCCCACATTCCTTCTCTAAAAAGGCAGTAGATCTGGTTACACTCAGCGGTTCAAGCTGGATTTTTCATCTCCCCCTTCCCATGAAAGAGCCACTGTCTTCCCTGCAGGAGCTGGCTGCCACCTCCCCTCCTGTTCCCGCTTGCTCTGGGACAGGAGCAGCCCCTGTGGGACCCCCTTGCTGGGGCAAGCAAAACCCAAACCAAGAGATTTGTTATTCCTTGTGGGGATAAACCCCAATACCCGACACCCTCC